TCAGGGAGAGTGACTAGTCTCGAGTCATTGGTGTGTGTGACATCAAGACAAGTACGTAGGTGCTCAATAGAGAATGAGTTCACTGAACACGATCAACGAAGAGTTCTCATATTCATGTCACATGAGAACTCATGGTTGGGATAATGCAAATTAGTCTTTTGACCTGAGGCATCACAGTTGTCTTGTGGTTAGGTCCTTAATCTTTGATTATGTCAAAGTCACTCCATCAGGAGGGTGTCCATGGCATCGTTGGGGTTAAGCCACTTAGCCATGGAGGCAAGTGAATGCGCAACAAGGGATCTCTAACCTTCAAACTGTTTGAGGGAGAATACTCTATGATATGATTAAGAATCTTTGGCCAAAGTATGAATGAGATTTAGGAATGTGTTCCAAATCACATTCAAGGTAATCATATAAGCACAAGACTCACATTGGATAGTAGACATGAATAAACTATCAAACCAAACAATGTGGTCAAGAGTATTGTATTAGAGAAAGACCGTATTGCATTTGTAATCCTAAAACTGAATAGGTTCTCCACCTCTTCTGATTAGCTTGGGTAACCATGACATGCTGCTAGGCGTCAACCATGGTTTGTGGAAGCCCTAAAAGTGTATTATCACTAACGGGAGAATTGAAAGTAAGTTTCAATTCACAATCGATTAGAAAGAGTTTTAATCGCCCACTGCCTCGCTAAAAGGAACCTAATGGATCGTTCACCGAGTAAGGTAGAATTTGAAGAAACAACGGAGATGAGTAAGAATAATTAAATGGTTTAATTATTTATCTAAGGCTAAGATTAATTAATATGTTAATTAATCAAATGAATAAGTTCGTTAAAGACCTCGGGTTAGTTTTGGGCCGCAAGGCCCAATGGGATTTGAATGTCAAGCCCATTAACTCAAGTTGTATGACAACTTGAATAAACAAAGGGCTTGAAAGCCCAATAAACCCTATAGGCTTGCCATGTTAGAAGAATAGGGCTTTTGGTCCATTAGGTCACTTATTTGAAGGGACTATATAAAGGACTTTATAACCTAAAATTTACATATGGTAATTTTTGGGGAAAGGATGAGAACACAAGCTCTCCTTTCTCTCTAAAATTTAGGCCACCTTGGAGGGATCATCTAGCAATCAAACTCCTCCAAGGTCACTCATTTCTTCTTCATTATGCCTTGGTGATGAATCATTGGAGGTTCTCAATTTTGGGAACTTGGAGAAACCTTTTCATCCATCCAAATCCATGGATCTAAGATGCAAGGAATGAAGGCCCTCTCTTTGGGTGATTAGCCTTTGCTTATGCAAAGAGGAATCTACAAAGGTATTGATTTCTCAACTCACTTTGTTTTGAGTTGAGTCTTGGTTCACCTATCTACTAGGCTTTGAATTTCATGGGTAAATGTTTTGTTTTTAAGTGCATACAAGCATGATTCCGCCTTTAATTGTTAATTGCATGCTATTGATGTTGCTTAAATGAACATGTTTTTCACAAATCTTCCTTCACAAACATCGATAAAACTTCTTAAAACCACTTCCAAACATACACTAAGACATGATCTACTACTTTTGGACAAGGTTCAAGGCTTACCTTCGTTAAAGGAGGAGAAAACTCGCCGAAGAACTTCGGTGAACAATGTAGGCCGAGAGAAATGGAGGGTTTCAGGGTGTTCTATTTCAATTCTAGCTCACAAGGGTGTTAATGGAGATGTTGATGTTGTTGTGGTGCTGTTTGTTGACGAGAAGAACCCTCTGAGGGGGCTGAGATAGAGAAAGCTGAAAGGAAGTGATAAGAGAGAATGAGGGAGAAGAGAGAACTGAGAGAGAAGGGAGAAAAAGACCGGGGGACACAAATTAGGGGGTGGGCCCCCTTGGACACACTATTTAAGACCTAAAAACCATTTTTAAAAGGAAAAAATCCCTAAACTTAGTGAAAATATAAAAATACCCTTTTTGTTCCGTAAATCTAGAGACGGGTTGTTTCAATCGATCTTGTTTGTAGTTCATGTACAACTCATTTTCAGTCATTTAAATTTGAAGCAATCTACAATACCAGTCATTTACTTTCCTCAGTTGTTTACACTTCTAACAACCTTGTCATTTACACATTGTTCCATCACTCCATATAAGTAAAGTCCTTATCTTTAAGGCAAACAAAGAACCTTGATTTGAGTCACTCCCACTCAATGGCACAATCTCTTGGTTTGAAGTCAAACTCAAGATGCAACCTCAATCATTCAAAACCCATATACTAACGGCATCTAGTAGTGGCACGCCCGCACCCACCAATTTCATGTTTGAGTAAATTTCTGGCATGCTCGCAAGGCCCATGGCGAATTTAGGGAGCAAACAGGTTCAAAGGAAGAATTGCAATTCTTTATGATTGCGTGGATGCATGTACACATACAACTTGAGAAAGGGAGTCTTTTGGTTGGAATAGGGAGCGTCATTCAAGGACCACATGATTTTTCATTTGAAATTAGTCAGCGTGGAAACAATTGGTATTATTAGGAAAAGCTGCGTAGCCGAGGTTTCATCTTTAAATAGAGAAGATTCTGCAATGAAAGAGGCTCCTTTTAACACAAAAACAGTGTTGACAATCAGTGACATCTTCAGTTTGGATTAACAACACTGGAGCCATAAAGTGATTTAGGAGCATTTTCAACTATATGGTACTATTCAAAGCTTTTGAGAGTGGATGTCATAAAACCATCTGAAACCATATATACAAGTCATTGGAGGATTACTATTTGACAAACGTTATGTGGAAGTCATTGTGGTGAAGGAGGTTTGCAAGTTTTAGCATTGCCATTACATGGCTTGGAAGTGAAGAAAGTTGAAGATCCATCATAAAACCAATTAGTAATATGGGGAGTAACCCAAATACTTATAAGCACATGCAAGATCCCTCCTCTCATTAATGTGAGATTTACTCTCAACAGAAAAGAAGTGGAAGCGAACTACTTCCAGCATGAGGTGTATTGCTTACCACTTCTTTTTTTTCCGGTATACTGTATGTCGCTCCACAAGCAAGGAACATCCAGCCCATCTTCATCTTGAAAGCTTTAGATCCATCTTGAAAAGTTCTAATGTCAAGACCCCCGGAAGTGGTGAGGGCTCAGGAAGTGAAGCAAGCTCGACCAAAGGACAAGTCTGTTCCTGCTTCGTCTTTTTATTCCTGATTGAAGAAATATATATATATATATATATATATGTGTATATATATATATATGTGTGTGTGTGTGTGACAGTTTCTCTTTGTCCTCTGTGCTCATTCATGTAGCTCTTATTCATAGTCAATTTTATACTATATATTTTTTCGTATTCTTGGTATATTTTGGTGTTTTGTTATGTGTTTTCAATTTACGACGTGCAAATTTGTTCTAAGCGTAAAGTAATCAAACGGTGGAATTTTTGAGTGATTCCAATTGAAGCGGGTTCGTGAGTCTGTCAAGAGGGTGTATCAAAATTTCATAATTTTATCCTGAAGCATCTGATTGTGGCAAATTAATTATGCCCAGTGCGCAGTGTTGGCAGATTGGGCTACAAAGCTTGTTTGTGACTTTTGGGTTAGAAGATGATGGATTTTGGACTTAAGCTTTTCTTGGAACTTGAAGAGGAGGTTATAATCTTTAACTTGATTCGTTTTGGGCATATTTTGAGGCCTTGGAGGTCCATAAACGTGGCTATTTCTCTGCTAGGCAAATTTCTTAGTCAGACTTGAAGTGTGTTTTTAAGTTATCATTTTATTATTTTATTTCCTAATTTTTGGAAAACCTTTTCTAATAGGGATTTTAATTTGTGGTAGTAAAAATAAGGCTTTTTGACCATTAAGGTTCTCTAACTTAGCAAAGCTTTGGCGAATTTCAGACTTTTTACCTATAAGGTGTTTTCAACATTTTTCTAGTTAATGATATTTTCTTTGGTTTTTATTATGAGTACGCATAACTAATTTCTTTTGTTAGGGTGAGGCCATAAGCCTTAACATGAATATGTGATTTTATTAATTTTCTTATGAATGGATGCATACTTGCTTTGAATTATTAATCACCGTGACTAAACTATCTATATATTTTAATGATTGCTCACCATTAGGATATTTAGATGAGTAGTTTGATGCAATTTCGATTGGAACATCACCCTGAAATTGAGGAAGGCTTTTTGTAATTGGTAATTGTAAGTTCACTTAAGCTGACCACCACGTTCTTAAGGGTTGCATGGTTTTTTAAGGGATTTTCACAAAACTTAATGAGTCTTGCATGTTTATATTTGATTTGAAATCACAAATAAGTTGCATGTTAAATATACGTTTTCGCTTGAACATCAAAAGGAAAATACTCATTAGGAAAATCTAACATTCAAATCATGTATGTGAAAATTCATAAATAATTGGCAAAATTGCATAAAATTGTTAATGGTGAACGCAAAACCCTAGTCTTTCCCATAATTGATTAATTTAAAAATTGTTTTCCTTCTTTGCTGCCATTATTTCCAAATTTCTTTTTATTGTTAATTTAGTCTTAAAATTCAAAAATCTCAAATCTTTGATAAAATCTGTTTTAAATAATTATTTAAGAATTAGTTTGATTACAAATTAGTCAAACAATCCTAATAGATAATGACCTTGCATGAGCGATTATATTACAATTTCTTTGTACTCTTGCAAGTATTTTATGTGATTTTAACCCTATTTGCGCATGTACTAAAAATCCTATCATTCATCCTAATTAAAACCAAAAAAATGTTAAAGACGTGATCAGAATTATGGTAGACTCTCTTTCTTCAACTATATGGTACTATTAGAATCTCATGGGAAGATATTCAAACTTTGGGTGCAAACGCTGTCCTAACCAACTCGCGTATCATAGTTTGGTATTTTCTATGTATCACTATGTAAATTGGCTGTTATCTTCTTCTTCTTCTCTTAAAGTTACCACAAAGAAATACAAAATAGTAGCAATCACCGGATGGAAGGTACATAAGCGTCCAAAGATTAGAGTTAGTAAATTGAAGTTCAAGACGGTGACATTTTCTTATTTATTGAGACAATAACCTCTGCACAGTAAATACTGCTACCCACAACAATAGCATTAGCAACAAGATTAATAACATTCTGATGGATAATTCTAGCTTTTTCTCAATAGAACTTGATTCACCAAGTTCTCTAAGTTTTTGGATGAAGAACCATGCGGACCTGTAGATTCTTCCGCAAGTTTCTTCCACTCCATGGCCATAATTTTCATTTTCTTGCCCTTCTCTCCCTCCATCAACTCTCTAATAAGCTTCTCCACTTCATCTCTCTTCACATCACTATCAATCTCCAATCCACTGCCCCACTCATTGCAAGTGTAGTAACAGTTTGTGTATTGCTCGGCAAGGACTGGCCAACACAGCATAGGTACTCCTGAAGACAAGCTCTCAATCGTTGAATTCCAACCGCTGTGTGTCAAAAACCCTCCGACGGATGGGTGGTTAAGGACTTGCTCTTGCGGGCACCAACTCAATATTACGCCTCTTTCTTTGGTTTCGAACTCAAACTCAGGCGGCAAAATTGCTGATTCGCCGACAACCAGATCAGGCCTAATTACCCACAAGAATGGAAGCTTACTATTTGCAAGTCCCCAACCAAACTCAACAAGCTGTTGTGGTGTCATGACTGCTATACTGCCAAAATTCACATAAAGAACCGAGTTCGGGGCCTTAGCGTTTAGCCATTCCAGGCACCCAGTTTCTTCTTTCCATAGACTGTATCCCATATGTTTCAAAGGATCTTTCGGTAATCGATAGAGAAGCAACTGGAGAGGGCCAATGGCGTAAACAGGTGGAGGCATAGATGAGAGAGCATCCAAAACATCTGGCTCCAACGCATCAAAAGTATGAACAACAACTGCGGAAGCTTTATCAACTCTATCCACTGCTTCCATGGCAAAGTTAAACACAATGTCATTTGGATCTGTAGTTCGAAAGCAGCCCGGGAGATCCCTTAAACGGATATCCTTCATTCCTGGAACCCAATCTATTACCATGTCCAAATATCCATTTGTCAAGCAGCTCTCATCTACAACACAACAACGTAAGACAAATTTCATCACTTTATTTATACAATGATATACTTTAAACTAATCTAATTAAACTGCGTGGAGAGGGATTCAAACATTGGTGCATATGAGGGAGCACATTTGCTCCAGTATTTAAAAAATTGGCAAGCAGTATTTAATCATAGATTGAGCAATAATTGATTCAACGTTTTTTTCACCTTTGAGGGGCGCTAGTCCCTTTTCCACCAAAACAGAATATTGTTTAGATCCCATGAAGCCAACTGCAGCTAAAGTAAAGAAGAGCGCGATAGGGATTCCAAGCTCTTCAGCAGCTGTGATTGTGGATGTCATAAACCCATCTGACACCAAACAAGTCACTGGAGGACTACCAAAACCATCTGTGTTGTCATTGAGTTTGTTGAGAAGGTTACAAAACGGAGCCAAGAAATCGTTTCTGATGCAATCAAGAAGCAAAGTGATATCTTGAGGGGCATCCTCATCGGTGTCTGAACTTACTGGAAGACCATCTGGGATTGTTTTGTACTGAAAATCAGGCAAGCCATCGAGTGAGTTGGGGCCGAGAGATTTAAGAAAGCGCTTATGGTTGTACTCGGTGTTGACAAAGGTTATGTGAAAACCTCTATGGTGGAGGAGCTTTGCTAATTTAAGCATTGCCTTTATATGGCTTTGAAGTGGAAGTGGAGTACATACAGCATGAGGCTTATAACCTACTACTGCAGTGGAACTACTCATATTAGATTGTGTGTATCTCTACTGGAAGACAGTACTGCTCCATATATATTTTGGTCTACTGTGTACTTGTACAGATGACGATGAGTCGAATAAGTAATGGACGGTTGGGTTGGGGTTTGCCTTTTGTAATTTTGCTCTTACAGCTGGCAGTTGAAAATGTCTTACTACCAAAGGATTTTAATCTCTTTGGCACATGTCGACAGTTTATCCTCTTGGCTCATTCATGTGTCTTTTCTATGACCTAATCAGATTATAAACCACAAGGATTTTTTTAAATCTTTGCAACATCAACTTGCGCTAGCTTCTAAACAATTAACTCCAACATAGGAAATCTGTGTAATTTTCACCGGGAAATTGAACAGGGGCAAACAGAAACTAGTTGTGCAGTACATCCCTAGTTATTAAGACCAAAATTTTTATGGAGAACGCAATCTAGCTGTTATTTAAGAGCACTTGATTCACCAAATTGTCCAAGTTTTTGGATGAAGAACCATGTGGACCGGTGGCTTCTTCTGCAAGTTTCTTCCACTCTATGGCCTTAATTTTCACTTTCTTGCTCTTTTCCCCATCCATTAATTCTCTAATAAGCTTCTCCATCTCATCTCTCTTCACGTTACTATCGATTTCCATGCCACTGCCTCTTTCGTTGCAAGTGAAGTAACAGTTTGTCTGCTGATCACCGAAGAGTGGCCAACAGAGTAGAGACACTCCAGTAGACAAACTCTCAACGGTTGAGTTCCAGCTGCTGTGTGTTAAAAACCCTCCAACTGATGGGTGGTTAAGGACTTTCTCTTGCGGGGACCAACTTACTATCTTACCTCTTTCCTTGGTTTCAGCCACAAACTCGGGTGGCAAAATCACTGACCAGAATGGCCTAATTATCCACAGGAAGGGATGCTTGCTATTTGCAAGTACCCAGCCAAACTCAATAACATGTTTGTGTGTCATCACTGCTAGACCGCCGAAATTCACATAAATAACAGAGTTTGGCGTTTAACCATTGGGGACACTCGGTTTCTTCTTTCCATAAACTGTATCCCATAGGCTTCAAAGGTTGTTCTGGTATGTGATTGAGAAGTAATTGGAGAGGGCCAATGACATAAACAAGAGGAAGCATAGATGAGAGAGCATCCAAAACATCTCGTTCCAATGCATCAAAAGTGTGAAAAACAACTGTTAGAAGCTTTATGAGCTTTGTCCACCTCTTCAGAGCAGTTCTAGTGTGGGAACCCTCCCCCCAGGCAATACACTATTTAATCCACCTAGTGAACAGTAATTGCCCTTAATGAACAGTAATCACATTTTGCATCTCCACCGTTGCACTTGAATAGCTCTGGTAATGGATAATAAAATATTAATTTTTTTCTCATCCAATCCATCAAACATCTCATCACCCTTTCCCTTTTTTTTTGTTTGACCGGTTCTTCTTCCTCTCTCTCTCTCTCTCTCTCTCTCTCTCTCTCTCTTTCCCTTCTTCCCCTCATTTACGTTTATTTGACCGGTTCTTCTTCCTCTCTCTCTCTCTCTCTTTTCTTTCTCTCTTTCCCTTCTTCCCCTCATTTACGTTTTTCCCTCATTCCACCATCATCATCTCTCCTTTTCTCTGCTTTCATTCCCTCCCTCCTCAGTTTCTCTTTCTTCCCCAATCTTTGTCTTCCTCTCCTCTTGTTTGCTTTCATTCCCTTCTCTCCCTCTTCCACTTCCCTTCTCTCTACACATAGCAGCAATCCGATGATTCTTTTTCTTTTTTTTTAATTTCTGGTTTGATTTATTTGCTGCCGATCGAATTTGATCCTATATGCGGTGGTTTTAGAACCGCAATTTTATTGGAAATTTTAATTTAATTTTTTGAAATTGATACTGCTTAGTTGATGTTTTTCGTTGGAATTGAGGGTTTGGGTGTGTAGATCCAGGTCAATTGAGGGGAAGGAGGACGGGGAGATGCAAGGTCGGCGCATGCACCGATGCCGCACATCAGCCACACGTCACACAACCCTCAGGCTTTCGGGCTGTCGATTCCTGCCTGGCCTCTCGCTCGGGCCTGCTCGGGCTTGCTCGCCAGCACACGCTGGACTTCATCACTCGGGCTCTTTGGCCTGTTCCTGCGCCTGTCCCTCAGTCTGGAGCACACGGTGGAAGTGCTCTCAAAGGTGAAGTTAAAGATGATGTCTGTTGAGTAAATATGTTTTTATTTAAATGTTTAAATATATATTTATGTTTTGCTTAATTACCAATATTATATGCATAACAGTTAATTTATTTTGGCCTTATCAATTAGATAACGAGTTATCTCCTCTTAAATATGAAACGTGTGATTTCTTTTCTACATAGAGAAGAAGATCAGGTCATTAAACATATTCAAACCATTTTGGCTTTTCCATTTTGAATTTGCTTTATGTTTTGATTAATATTTATGTTAATAACCTGTAAAGCAGTCCCTATACATAGAAAAGTATAATCATCTGATATACTTTATATATATTCAAACCGTTTTGCTTTTTAATAGTGCGATTACTTTACGTTTTGTTTTTTTTTTTTCCGTTTTGTCCTGCTTTTAAGCTCTCATTAATCTCTCAAACCCTCAATGTCTCTTTCTTCTATAGTATATATAGTAGTCCCTAGATCATTAAAAGAATACGAAAATATATATATATTTTCTGATATATAGTTTTGATAAGCAACATATTGAGAGGGTGTGAGTTCGAAGGTTCTTCCACTGTGCAAGGAAGAACTTTATGAGAAAAAGAATGTTCTGGGCTGTTTTATCCTCGGGAAGACGTGGTGTTTGTGAAATGCTTGCACACTTTGGACAGAGTCATGAAACGTCTTAAAGAGAACGACTTAGTCCACGACTCATACCAAGAATCATTCATCACTCAAGACTTCTACATTTTTCGGATAACTTCGTTCCTTTCTATTTTAAGTTTCAACAATGTCACTATACCAGTAGGGGAGAGCCCTTAAGTGTATACCTTTCATTCCCGGAATCCAATCTATCATCTGTCAAACAGCTCTCCTCTACAACACCCAAGTAATCATATTCATAAGTCATATGTAATAAACAAGCAATGAATCATTAAAATTAGAAAAATTCTTCAATATTTTTACTGTTCAGTGATGCAAGTCATCTTTCTACCAAAGCAGAATAGTGTTTAGATCCCATTAAGCTGCATGCAGATGCAGGTAAAGTGAAGAACAGCACGATAGGGAGTCTAAATTCTTCAGCAGCCGTGATAGTAAACGTCATGAGTCCATCTGAAACAATGCAAGACACTGGAGGATTAAGAATGTTGGAAGTTGCCATGTCTTTGAGTTTTATTACAAGGTTACAAAACGAGCCAAGAAATTTGTTATATAGAATCACAATGCAAAAATGAGTCTTGGGCGGTGTCTGCATCTGACTCTGGAAGGCTATCAGGAATTGTTTCAGAATGAAAGTCAGACAAGCCATCAAGAGAGTTGCGTCCGAGAGATTTAAGAAAGAAGTTGTTTTGAACTTTTTGTTGATAAAGGTTATGTGAAAGCCTCAATGGTGGAGGAGTTTGCTAATTTCACCATTGCCTTGATATGGCTTTGAAATGGAAGCAATATGAATACGGTGTGAGGCTCCTACTTCCATGGAGCTCATATTCGATTTGCAATTGCGTAAATGCATGCAGTTGAGCTTTATAGATGATCAAAAACTTCGAGTTCAATAAATAGAAGACGGTGGGGGATGCCTTTTCTTCTGTACTTGTATTTGAAGGGCTATACCGAGATTAGAAATTACATGGAGAGGGTGAAAACATTTTCATGAGCTACAAATTCAACATAACTCAATTCAAATAACGCTTAAGTACCATCTAAAATAGCATTGCGATAATAGAAGAAACGATGGAGTAAAGTAGCTTGAGAAAATAGGATTTAGCTTTTTGATGGGTAAAAGCTTTATCAGTACTAAAAATAGTGCCTACAGACATATGCTTTTATTTCATATAGTCGAAACTATATGCATTAGACATAAATGTTTATGGTTCGAACACGTGAAAACTCGTTTGTTTGAAAATGTTGAAATATAAGTGTTTTAGCTAAATAAACTTGTATTTAGTTTCAGTTTACAGGTTTAAATGTGAGCCATTGGATTACATTCTAATTGGACAGCTAAGATGTAATCTTAGAGTTAGTGACTTGTGTTGACACATGTAACTATCTTATAGGGTAGGTTGCATGAATGGTTGGATTTGAGTTTTGTATCATAGAGAGAGAATCTCTCTCTCTAACGGTAATATATCTCTCGCACGTTTTGTGTGAGGTGTGAATGAATGAAAGCAACTTTCTGTGAGAACCTTCTCTCTGCAACTCTCTGAGCATTTTTTTCAATTCATTCCTTACCACAGAGATCATAGTCTTTGAGATTCTAACATGGCCTCAGATCAAGGTTTGGTCGTTTAACACCGAGAGATTGAATTTGCGAATGAACGATTTAAAATTTGAAGAAATTGGTTCCGAGATTTGTGTCTAATACGGCAGGATCTGGAGGTGGTGAGCTGAGAGCGCCGATCTTCACCGGCGAGAATTATGAGTTCTGTAGCGTAAAGATGAAGACTATTTTCAAGTCTCATGGATTATGGGGGTTCGTTGAAAAAGGAGTAGAGTGCTCAAATTCGAAGGGAGTTGATAAATCTGATGCAAAGAAAAATGAGAATGAGGAATCGAGTGATGCTACAACTCTCACAGAGAAGTGAAAGATGCCAAGGTGCTGGGGCTGATTCAGAGAGCAATTTCCGATGAGATCTTCCCTTGGATCTCTCACGAAGAAACCTCTAAGGGAGCTTGGGATATCCTGCTGCAAGAATTTCATGGTGACAAACAGGTTAGAAGTGTTAAATTACAAAGTCTTCATAGAGAATTTGAATATACCAGAATGAGAGATGATGAGTCCCTATTTGTTTATCTTACAAAATTGTTTGATTTGATAAATCAAATAAGAAGTTATGGAGAGGAATTGTCTAAAGAGAGAATTGTGCAGAAAGTGTTGATTAGTTTACCCTCTGCATATGATCCTATATGCTCGGTGATTGAACACTCAAGGGAT